CCACCGCCAACTTTGGGCTATACTTTTACTAACGAATAGTGGGATACACCGTCACATTATAATGCCCCCACGGCTGAAAGGGCGAGCATGTTTGGTGTGACGGGGATTCGAACCCGCAGATTGTAAGTCGAGCGCCCTAACCACCTGGCCATGCCGGGCCCACAAGCAAGGGACTTCATAGAATCAGGAAATTGAAAGTTTTTAGAAATAATCACCGTTTCAGAGGATTAAAGTTGTATTGTTACCAACTGTAAATCTGAAAATAAGTTGGACAAGGTTTATGAAAATTAATCGCTATGAAAACATTTAACCATTCAACGTTAAAGTATATAGCAATACCTTGCTAGTCCTGATTTGAATGAAATTACTTTGTGTTTTTTTTTGTAATTGTGATACATCAGTCCTTAAAAATGTTTTTATTTTTCTCAATACGTTGTCTGGGGCTTTGAATGGTTAAATACTACCATGGTTAAAAGTTTCACATCAAAGCTAATAGTATGTTAGGTACAAAAGAGTATGTTTTTCTGATCAGTTTGACATAGAAGTTAAGCTATCTAAATATAGACATGAAAGAACACAACATTATGAAAGTATTCTCACACAATATTTACTCAATTAACTATACAGTTAAAATAAACAAATTTTCTCTCTCTGTTCCAGGTGTCCCATTTTTGATTGTTGGGGTGACGATTGGAGTCAATTTTAACGAATATAGCTACAGAAATGAGTTGTAAGTAGACATTAATTGCGTGGTTAAAAATTTTAACTTCTACAAAAGACTAAAATATTAAGATATAACTTAAAGAAGTTTACAGCCTACAGGAATCAATATATCCAATCTGATATTTAGTGTAGCTTACAGTTTCTAAACACGTGCTGCAAATAAGATTTGACAGCTTATTGGCTTTTAAAGAGCTTGTAAAAAGAAATATGTAATTAACCGCATAGGCGACAAAAATATCGAAATTAAAGAATAGGTTAAACAATCACCAAGTTTGTTTGTTTTTTTTGTCTGTTTGTTTTAAGAGGATGACGTTTCCAGTTAGCGCTCTTCGTCAGATTGTACAGCTTACAGCAAAGGCGCATGCGCAGAATATAAAAAAATTGCGTGCGTAGCATTTTGAACGTTGAGAGTGAAATTTTTCTGCAAAATTACATCTTTTACATCAATATTACAAGTCATGAAAAGATAATACAGTTTGAAATGCAAATTGAAAATAAAATATGGAAAAAGTGAGAATCTGTAGAAAAGAACGTCGTTTAAGCCAGATGGTTGTTGGCTTCCCAGATTGTAGATTAATCTCCTCTCCAGTCGTTCGCTTTTGTTAATATCTGTTGAAGCACTAACAAGACCAAGAATCCAAAAGTCCTCAGCTGTATGTTTGTTGATGGTGAAATGTTTACCTATAGGTGTATCTTGGTTCCCCAATTAAATATGGTTTAGATGTTCTCGTGCTCGATCACCGAGTCGGCGTCCTATTGGTCCAATGTATAAACTGTTGCATTTTTTATTTATTTTTTGCAAGCTATACAATAAATCTAGCGCATGTAAAGGACTATCTTAAGTTGGAAGTTGTGTTCTTTCCTCGTTTATGTGTGATGCTTTTTATATGTGGGCAGGTGACACACCTGTTTTGCTTACATGTGTGAGTGCCTGGAGTATCATTGTGTTTTTGTTTAAGGTTACTGTGCACCAGGATTTATTTTAGGTTTTTGTCATGTCTGGAAGAAATAATGAGGGGGGGGGGGGTCTTTGAAAAGACATTTGACGGTAGGGTCTTCAGAAGTATTGCGTAATTGTTTAGTATAATATCTTTGATTTTCTTGTTGGTCTGGTGGTATTTTAGTACAAGTGGAAAACGATCGGTGTATTCTTTCTTGGTATGGTTGAGTGTTTGCTTCTGGGTATATGAACCAGCTTCGGTGGCTGCATCATGAATGAGAGAATCGGGGTAGTGTCTTTTATACACTAGTGATGACTTGACAAATTTCTACCAAGAAAAAACACACCGATGGTATTCCACTTATACTAACATACCATCAGACCAACAAGAAGATTTATGTTTATAATGTACTTTTGCAGATAAATTTAACGCTCAACGTTCAAAATGCTACGCACGCAATTTTTTATATTCTGCGCATGCGCCTTTGTTGTAAGCTGTAAAATCTAACGAAACGTCATCCTCCTAAAATAAGAACAAAACTTGGCGTTTGTTTAACCTATTCTTTAATATTGAAGAGCTTATACTCATTTTCATTATAACACGTGTTGATAATTATGTCTTTTAAAAGTGTACAGCATTTTCTTAGAATAATGAGGTAAATGTAACTCCAAGCATGTATTGATGTTTTTCGTTACAGTTGTATGCTGTCTCCAGCCAATCCATACATCTATTATCTTTCCTTCTTGGGACCATCTTGCCTTATTCTTCTCGTCAATCTTACAATTTTCGTCCTCGTGACACGAGTGCTGTTTACTCCTCGCATGACTGCCAGGGCCGGGATCAACTACCTTCAGAATTCCAACGTCGTCACCATTGCCCAAGTTCGAGGAGCTTTCACTGTCATGACTCTCTTGGGTGTCACTTGGGTGTTTGGAGCTTTTGCTGTAGGGAAGGCTAAACTAGTGTTTCAATATGTCTTCTGCATAGCTAACTCTCTTCAAGGGTTCTTAATATTCGTTGTACGCTGTCTTCAGTATCCAGAAGCCAAAAGTGCATGGCTGCAATTGATTAAAACCGGAACACTGAAGAAATATCGCGGACTGGTCCCACCTGGAGGATCCTGGTATGCCAATTCCAACTCAAATCAAAAACAAAATGGTCATAAGCTTACTAATCGTATGCTAAGTAACACAAGTACAGATACAACCAGTACGGTAGTTTTCAACAGTAACTTCTGGAGTCGTTCGTCCAACAAAAGTGACTCCCATCGAATTCTAGGTAGTGGTAACACTTGTATATCTAGACTTTCCAGTCGAAATAAGACCTTGAAAGACACGAATGTACAGAAAGAAGAGAAGGTTCACAAGAAAGTCGAAAAATTGGACTCGGTAAAATCTCTCAGCGACAAGAACTCCCTCATGTTGAACGAGGTAAGCAACAAAACAGTGCTAGATTCGATCTTGGAAGATGAAAATGATAAAAACGGAATGAAAATCTCATCTCCTTTTGGCTGCAACGAAAACGGAGTTCCTCTGGAATCAATTGGTTTTATTGACGAAGATGAATCGAGTAGACACGAAGAAGAAAGAATTTCACTTACAGAGCCATCTGGTGATGAAAGTGGGTATCAGTCCTCTTCTCCTGAATCTCAAACCATTAGACAACGTGGCTACAGCAGTCTGGATGAATCTGGACGGACGCCATTATCTTCTAAAGGATTTAGGTTGTCCAGAAAACCCAAAGATTGTGAATATAAACCAGTAGTCACTTCACAAAATTGCAATAAACAATCTTTGTTGACACCTTTTAAGAAAGCAAGACATCAACGACCTTCAAATAAAGAACAAGCTGACCAAACTGTGAATCTCTTGGAAACACGAAAAAGTGAAACTACAAATACTCCAGAAAAAGCCATGAAAGATCAACTCATCTTTTCGCCAATGAAGTCTTGTAATGTAGAACTAATGTAAAAATTTACGTTCGCTAAACCATACGTTGTTTTAGACTGAGAACTCTAATACAGACATCATATTCTTACTTGCAAAAGATGTATTGGATTTCGATATAAACGTTGTCAACTTTTCTAGACAGAAGAACCTGAACGTTCGGACTGTACCAACATCAATGTGACTTGAATATCTTAACTGAGATGGCTTCACATTTTAATCAGATCACTTTAGGTGACCAGCGACATGGGGAGTTAGTTGGTTCTGAACACTTAAAGATAGAAGAGTTATCAGTGTGTGTATTGTGTCAGTAAAGGGGGTGAAGAAGTATCTCATATTTTATTAGCATGCGTGTTTACGTCTTAGTTGCAATGCATGACAATAACGTATTTTATAGAGTAGGTTAACAGTATGTAGAAACGACTATTTTCTTTGCGAAAAGAGTGCTGTTAACAAGACTTTTTGAAACTTCTCACCCACTCAGACGTGTAGTTTGAGATTTAGAATTGTTCATTCCAAAATCTCGAAAATATGATCATTACAGAAACATTTAAGGAGTTTGTATTGTGGAGACTGTCATGAACTTCATGCTTATATTTCATGACGTCATCACAGACATGTCAAATAATTTCGTAGTTAGTAAGCAAGCAACATGCCCAATGAATTAAACTATTTGTACATTTCCTATGATCAATTTCACATGTCCGCGTCCTGCGATATTTTTTTTTCCTTAATTCGAAAGAGAATCGTTTATCTTATTCGCATGTAGCAGAAACAAGCTGGCCTTGACAACGTGTAAGAAATGCCTTCACAAATTTTTGCCAACTCCTAGTATTAGGAACAAAACTGTAGTTAATGCTTTACAGTTAATGTTGTTGTTTTTTTATTGAAATTCTGCTATTCATATTTTATCGTTAAATTTGAAATTTCAGTATTTTGTATTTCAAACTCCGAAAGGGAGTAGTTTAGTCAATAGAAATACACACAACACCAAAAAATATTCCAACTTCTTTTTGGTTTCAAAGTCTACGTTCTGGAACAATGACAGCACGTCATCTTGTGCTATATTAGTAAAACATTAGCTTGGTATCATTAAACAAGATGGCCTGCTGGGTAAGATTATTACTCCCCCCCCCCAGTACATATATATGTGTATTGTCGATATGCTTCAATACGTATATTGATTACTAGTCACGATTTGTGTAGGATTTTAATTAAGATTGAACTTTTATTCAAAGCAATGTAACAAAAACTCGTGAATCGGTGGGTCAGTGAAAAGGTGACAGACTTATAACACTAAATTCCGGGGCTCGACTCCCCCCAGTGAACAGAGCTCACTGAGATAACTCACTGTATGGCATTACGCTAAAACAAACTTCCCCTCACCACTACACATAAAAAAAACTTTAAGATTTTTGACTTCTTTAAAGCCGTATTTCTCCATGTCCCACCGCTAAAATGACAGTCAATCTGTTGTAGTCTTGAAATGATAAAAAATCAACATGAAAACAGCAGCTATCTCATTTTCACAAAATTGCAACTAAATATAAAGAGTAATTTGTATAGAGCATCATGATTAACATAACACTGACTCAAATGTCATCGTTTGTGCAATAGTTTAAACTGTGAATTTATTGGGTATTCTCTCTGCAATGTGTGAAAGGAAGACATAAACGCTACTCTTCATTTATGTTATATGACGATATTCTTTATTCCTGTAACGAGATGGACACTGTTCTTTATTCCTGTCATATGTAGGTACGAGATGGACACTGTTCTTTATTCCTGTCATATGTCGGTACGAGATGGACACTGTTTTTTATTCCTGTCATATGTAGTTACGAGATGGACACTGTTCTTTATTCCTGTCATATGTTTGTACGAGATGGACATTGTTCTTTATCCCTGTCATATGTAGGTACGAGATGGACACTGTTTTTATCCCTGTCATATGTTTGTACGAGATGGACACTGTTTTTTTCCTGTCATATGTCGGTACGAGATGGACATTGTTTTTTATCCCTGTCATATGTTTGTACGAGATGAACTGTTCTTTATTTCTGTTATATGTTTGTACGAGATGAACCCTGTTCTTTATTCCTGACATATGTTTGTACGAGATGGAGACTGTTCTTTATTTCTGTCATATGTCGGTATGAGATGGACACTGTTTTTTATTCCTGTCATATGTTTGTACGAGATGAACCCTGTTCTTTATTCCTGTCATATGTCGGTACGGGATGGACACTGTTCTTTATTCCTGACATATGTTTGTACGAGATGAACTGTTCTTT